AGAGGGAGAAGCAGGCTTCCCACTGAGCAGGGAGCCTGATGTGGGGCTCGATCCCAGGACCCTGGGATCATGACCTGAGCCGAAGGCAGACGCTTAATGACTAAGCCACCCAGGCGCCCCTGCTGAGACATATCTTAATAGTAAATATCCCACTCATGAACTACAAGGCCAAGAGAGTATCAAACTGGGTTGATAGAATGTTTGCCCTCATTAAGAAGGGACATTTTTCGGAGCTGACACTCTGCCTAGCTCACTGATAACTAGAAAGGCCTTGAAGCTTTAGATATTGCAGGAAAGTGAGAAAGAAGAAATTAAAGATACTACAGATAAGGCTTAATGTTTCAAGATCCATGCCAGATCATAAACCATTTCCCAATGCATACAAAATCACTTATGTCTGGGTAAAGTATCGTCCCCTGAAAAGCAACTTTAGAGATTGTGGCCAACAGATCGTAGGGGGACCCCGTGATTCTCACCTTCTGGCATTCATACCCTTGTACAATATCTCTACTCCTTAAGTGTGGGCAGGACCTGTGACTTGCCTCTAACTAAAAGAAGGTAGCAAAGGTGATGGAAAGTCGTTCCTGTGATTACATTATGTAATATCTCACTAGCCTTCAAGAAGCAAGCAGCGATGCTGTGGCTGCTTACCAAGTGGTAGGGAATGGTGGGCAGCCTCTAGAAGCTGAGGGCAGCCGATGGCCTGCAAAAAAAAAAGCCCTCAGAGCTACAGCTCAGGGAAAGGAATTCTGCCAACAACCTGCAAAGAGTTTGGAAGCAGATTCTTGCCTCAGTCAAGTCTCCAGATGAGACCATAGCCCCAAATGACACTGGCTTTTAGCCTTGAGACCCAGAGCAGACACATCTAAGTTATGCCCAGACTCCTGATACACAGAAATTGTGGGATAAATAATACATGTGTGTAGTTTTAAGCTGCTAATTTAAGGTACTTTATTATAGAGCATAGAAAGCAAATACAGAAGTCTTAATATATGAAAGAATAAAACAGAGGAAAAGGAATATTGAATTACTGGCCTTTTGGGATATTTATTAATGAAGATCACACATCCAAAGGTCAGTCCTCAATGCTCATTTCCATGATTTTAAGAGTCGGTCCTGCCATGTCATGACTGTTGTCACCTTGGACACTGTGAAGCTGAAGAGCCGGGGAGAGTTCTGTGCTAAGACAACATAATTCATTTGAAGTCTCTGCCTTTTCAGTGTCACTATCCCCTTCAATGACATTCACAGAGGTCTCTTGGTCCGTTAAGCTGTCAGAGACACTCGGATTTTTGTCATCCCAAACTGAAGGTCCAAGGTTTGTTTCATCATTCACTTGTTGAATTATAACCCCTTCTGAGTACTTTGATTTATAGATGGGTAGGAAAAATTCATTTGGTGAACACAGTCTCTCATTTTCATCCTTTGGTACAGACAATAACATATCCAAAGCTTTTTGGTATTCTTGACGTTCCTGCTGAATTGTGGTATCATGTTTACTTTTATCTTCATTTTCTTCTGAATTCTCAGCCTGTTCAAAATCAAGTAAATTCAGCATATCAGTATCATCCAGCTTTACTGAGTTTTCTCTGGATGTGCAGCCTAAGTCCACCTTCAGGACATGCAGCAGATGGCGCATTTTTTCCTAGGATTAAGACAAGACGGGAATAATTACATTAATTAGGCTCGTCAAATTGAATTACTTTTGTCTGCAGTGCTGCTCATCTCAGCAGGGTTAATACTTCTTTCATCACCCACCCCCCGCACCCCACCATACATACAAAAGGTACAAGGGAAAAACAGCACTTGCTTTTAATGCATTTTTTGAGGCTATGGAAAAACTTTAAAATTCTTTCCATATTAGAATTCTTTTCTAATGAATGTCTAAAGAAAGACAAACCTCTTCCAAATGATGTTTATTTTGTTTTATGTGTCGCTCAAATAGGCGTTCTAAAAACCTAAAAATGATAAATAGAAATGTTAATGTCTCAAAATCAGAAAATCAATTAAATACAAAATAGCCATGCAACAACAGAACTACTAAAGGTTGAAGAGTATTTTCTTTCCAAAGCTAAACACTTAATCCTTCCCTGTTCTGTCAAGTTCTCCAATTTGGGAGCTAGTATGGCTTTTGTTTTTGTTTAACTTTTGTAACAGATGCCATTGTTTCTGAAAGATTATGTAACACTTACATTTCTGTGAAAATATTTTAAAAGAGGTCCAACAATACCCCTGCCACACACCAAAAAGCATGTTTTCCCTCTCACGCATCTATGCAAACACCAAAAGCCTCTCCCTCCCCTTCTCTTTCACATACACAACCCCCAAACCAAACCCTAAAGGAAATTCTCTTACAGTTATTTTACAATGCTTCCTCAATTATACTTGAAAAAAAATTCCACTGATGGTAAATCCACATAATAACCTAAAAGCCATCACTCATCACATACCACCAAGGGCCAGACATCTGTGCCACACACACAATCATTATACCTCTAATCACGACCAGTTTTTGGAGAGAAAGGTATTGTAAAGATCATTTTAAAGATGAGAAAATGATCTAAGATGATGACTTCCTCTCTCCTAAGGTCACAAGCCATTAAGAGAATTTAACCCAGATGTGTCTGGCTCCAGAGAAATTATTTTTCAACTGCACTATGCTTGTCTTGTTATCACATGAATGTATCAATACCTTTGCTGAAAAACAACTCCTTTGTTACCATTTGTTATTATCAATGAAGTAAGCCAATCTTAGATTTAGTAGTTCTGCTTTATTCAGCAATTTTTAAAAAAGATTTATATATTTGTTTTAGAGAGAGAGAGAGGAGAGAGCACACGCACAGTGGGGGAGGGGGGAGGGGCAGAAGCAGAGGGAGAGAGAATCTCAAGCAGACTTCCTGCTGAGTGGGGAGCCTGACATAGGGCTCGATCTCATGACCCATGAGATCATGACCTGAGCTGAAACCAAGAGTCAGATGCTTAACCAACTGGGCCACCCAGGTGCCCCAACTTAGCAATTTTTTAAAAGCCCAAGAAATCTGTATTCTACCTTTTATAAACAATACATACTGTTTGGGTACCTATTTTGTTTTTTCTCATCAACCATTATATTTTGAACATTTTTCTGTATAAATAAATTCACTTCTAAAACATCATTTTAAGTCCCTGAACAGAACTTGCTCTTGTAGATATTCAACAATTTATTCAACCAAACCTTTACTATTCAATGTATGGGTTGGTTCCATTTTTTTGGTGCTTTTATAACAAATGCTGCAATAAATAGCCTTATAATCTAAAAGAAAAATTTAAGTTTTTTTCTACGATAAACACATGTTCTGTGCAAATGTTTTTTGTTTTTATTTTTGTTTTGCTTCTAACCTGTGCTTTATTTTTTGATTTACAGTTGGAATCTTAATATTTTTGTTGTGGTGGTAAAAAACAGGTAATATAAAATTTACCATTTAACCATTTTTAAATGTATAGTTCAGTAGTGTTAAATATATTCACATTGTTATGAAACAGACCAATAGAACTTTTTCATCTTGCAAATTTGAAACTCTATAACCATTATGAAAACATTTTTAGCCACCTTTTTTAAACAAAAGTAGTAAACAGAATTATTATAAAAAAAAAACTTAGGGGCTCCTGGGTGGCTCAGTTGTTTAAGCGACTGCCTTCGGCTCAGGTCATGATCCTGGAGTCCCGGGATTGAGTCCCGCATCAGGCTCCCTGCTCAGCCTCTGACTCTCCCCCCTCTCATGATCTCTCTCTATCATTATCTCTCAATAAATAAATAAAAATCTTTAAAAAATAAAA